GCAATCAGCCTGTGGCATTGCTGAGGTGTTATGGAGGCCCAGGATGCTTCGATAGCAGCCTTAAGCTCATCCAGAGTGTTGGGTCTTGCATCTCTCAACTTTCTCTTCACAATATCCCACAGATTCTCTATGGGGTTCAGGTCAGGAGAGCTGGCAGGCCAATTGAGCACAGTAAAACCATGGTCAGTAAACCATTTACCAGTGGTTTTGGCACTGTGAGCAGGTGCCAGGTCGTGCTGAAAAATGAAATCTTCATCTCCATAAAGCTTTTCAGCAGATGGAAGCACGAAGTGCTCCAAAATCTCCTGATAGCTAGCTGCATTGACCCTGCCCTTGATAAAACACAGTGCACCAACACCAGCAGCTGACATGGCACCCCAGACCATCACTGACTGTGGGTACTTGACACTGGACTTCAGGCATTTGGGCATTTCCTTCTCCCTAGTCTTCCTCCAGACTCTGGCACCTTGATTTCCGAATGACATGCAAAACTGAGCAACAGTCCAGTGCTGCTTCTCTGTAGCCCAGGTCAGGCGCTTCTGCTGCTGTTTCTGGTTCAAAAGTGGCTTGACCTGGGGAATGCGGCACCTGTAGCCCATTTCCTGCACACGCCTGTGCACGGTGGCTCTGGATGTTTCTACTCCAGACTCAGTCCACTGCTTCCGCAGGTCCCCCAAGGTCTGGAATCGGTCCTTCTCCACAATCTTCCTCAGGGTCCGGTCACCTCTTCTCGTTGTGCAGCGTTTTTTGCCACACTTTTTCCTTCCCACAGACTTCCCATTGAGGTGCCTTGATACAGCACTCTGGGAACAGCCTATTTGTTCAGAAATTTCTTTCTGTCTTACCCTCTTGCTTGAGGGTGTCAATGATGGCCTTCTGGACAGCAGTCAGGTCGGCAGTCTTACCCATGATTGCGGTTTTGAGTAATGAAACAGGCTGGGAGTTTTTAAAAGCCTCAGGAATCTTTTGCAGGTGTTTAGAGTTAATTAGTTGATTCAGATGATTAGGTTAATAGCTCGTTTAGAGACCCTTTTCATGATATGCTAATTTTTTGAGACAGGAATTTTGGGTTTTCATGAGCTGTATGCCAAAATCATCAGTATTAAAACAATAAAAGACCTGAAATATTTCAGTTGGTGTGCAATGAATCTAAAATATATGAAAGTTTAATTTTTATCATTACATTATGGAAAATAATGAACTTTATCACAATATGCTATTTTTTTGAGAAGGACCTGTATATACACTGTAAATTAAATAGTACAGGAGGCTTTACCTTTTAACAAATTTGTTTTGTCAAATGCTTCTTGCACTGTGATGCATTGGCCGGAAAAGTAAACAAGTAGTTCCTGCAATGACAAAACTTATCACATTGCAGAAACTTTGTTAGTTTCAGCTTTGATGTAAAGTCTGTATACATGTAAGTAGCCTCAGCAAATGTGTGCACAGTGGGAGATTGTTTAAGCATCTCACAAAACAGTTTGCTGAGCTCAACTTTATGTAAATCATTTAGATTTCAAATGGAAAATACACGCTTTCTTACCCATGATTGCAAACGTTTGTGAAACTGGATATAACAAGTAAATATGATATGGGAGCAGTGTAGGGACACTGGCCAAGCCAAATGCTAATCTTTGTATTATTGTAAGATATTTTGGACAATGTAAAAAGGTATTTGGTTTTGATATGAATTTCTGTGGTTCTGCACATTAATGATGTATCAGTATCATTCAATGCGGAAAAAGTCTGAAAATAAGTCTAGTGGGGGAAAACCGTGAAAACAGATTTTCAAATGGTGGCCTTTAGATTGCATGCAGAAAAACTAATCTGCCTTTAGACAGCATGCTTAAATATATTTGAGCTTTGTTTGTATGGATAACTCAATTACCCTGCAGGCCTATCACGGTTTCTCTTTTGAGCATAGTAATACATATGCCCTATATTGCTGTGTATTCTCACTATTATGTCTGTCCAAGTTCTGTTTCTGCTTGAGATGTTGAAGGAATACTTCATTCCTTGCCAAATTGGGTCCTGTGGATTTTTATCCTGTTGAGGAAAAGTGTTTATATTCAGCCGCCTTAAGCTGGATGTTCTTGAGTCTGAGTGGCACAGGCCTGACACTTGCGTCTGGGTCTTCTTGTTTATATGACTAAGCAGTGAATTTTATTCTTGTATAAAATGTATGCTGGCAGGTGCAGTGTCTTAAAAATAATTAGATGACTGGAAGTGTTTACAGACAGAGTTCTTTCCAACACCAAAAAAAGTATACTGCTTCCAATCCTGAGCAACCATTGTGGTAATTAAACCGGGAGCAAGAATACAAGAATGCTGCACATTGGAACTCATTCTTAAGACTGATCTTGAACACAATCAAAATGGATTTGTGTACATATGAGACAAAGAAGCCATTGTGACCCCAAAGTTTTTGTTTACTTTTCCTCTCTCAAATTTGATAAAGCTGAGAACCACTATTTCCTTTTTTTTTCTCATTGGTATACACGGACCCATGCCTTTGTCTTTCTTTTTTCTTTAACCACCCCCACAGACTGCAACAGAAACAATGGCTCAGTGTTCTACTGCCATCACTCTTTAGTTGTATACCCCAAATACCACAATTTGTATGCGTGTCCTAATTAATGCATGTGCACACGTCCATGAATCCATCCATAAATTTGCTATTAATGTTGGGTAATATTCAGAATGTCTATACAAGCTCTTTCATCACACCCCCAATCCAAACTCACATACACAGTAGGAGATGCATATAAATATTTCACACTATTTTACAAACAAACACAACAGTCATTTTGTATTTATAATCCATGATGAAAAAGACTTAGTCAATATTTAGGTCCACAGAAACACAAATAAATGCACCTTGGCTAGTCTGAGATTGAGTGAGTGTAGAATTTGAAAAGCTTGGTTGTCTGTGGTGAAGATGTCCGTGTTGAACTTGTGTACTCGGAGTGTCTGGGCCCCATTTATTTGTATGTGTGAGAGCAGAGCACTTGCAGTTGATGCATCGAGACATTCCAGTCTCAGCACTGCTCATGATAACGAATGACTAACCAGGCTCAATGAGTTATTTTAATGAACCAGTAACATTGGATTCCAGCCTGGTTTCAATCCCATCTAAACAAGCTCCCTGAGAAAACAGCATAATTTATCACTTTAATCAGAAAATTTGTTTTTAAATCATGCAGCTCTCCAAGGTGTTGGGGAAACTACATGAAATTATCATCGAATATGAAAACAATTCCACATGAACAAAAATAAGAATCTTTTGTTTACCATATTGACATTTTTTTTAAATATAGTATTATTATATGTTTTTTTTTAAGTTTTTTTTTTATATATAGTATTGTATGAATATGTGCCCAGAGCAGATGTATATATTTGAGCAGAATGGTGATATCGCTCCCCTCTTATATTTTTTGCTAAGCTGGATAGGAATCATGAAGAATCAAGTTTCCAATTCTGATTCCTCTTAACGATTTCAGTTCCTTATCGGTTCAATTAACAATTTTTGTTTTTAGTTCTTTTAAGGAATAAATATTTGTAACAAATTTTAAAAAAAAAAAAGGAAAAAAAAAATGCAATGCCAAATGATGAGATAATTTCAATAATAAATAAATGTAAAACAATTCTTGCAAAAGGTGTGTTTACAGAGACTTTTTATATACTTTTTCACAGCTTATTTAGAGGTGACATTACTAAACAAACAAAAATGTGCCAACATTCAATTCATTAATCAGGCTAAAGACAAAGAAGGATAACCTGTATTTTTACCCATTCGATAACTATACAAGAACAACAACAATAATAATAATAATTAAAATTATTATTATTATTATTACCATTGTTATAAAAAAATATATTTGACTGTAATTTAAATTATTAAAAATACACAAATTAATAAAGAAATGTATTACTATTGTACTGGTAAGTAAAAAAATGTATTTAAAAATAAAAATCGTTTTACAAGATTTACAAGTTATTGCTGTCTTAATTTCTTTCCTTTCAAACTTAAACCTTAGAGCTTTTATTTTGGTGGAAAAACCCAGGAAGACCTTAAAGCTCTTTTTTTTGTGACCGATTTATAAACGATTCACATTACAAATTTGGGAAGATGGCTGTCATAATAAGTGACCTAACAGCCATTGCAAAGATGTACTTTATCTGCAGCAGCATTTACTGTGAACCAAGCCTCTCCAATAAACTGAAAACACCAAATTATGAAACATGATGTAGCACGTCCGACTATTTATATAATTACAATGCAGCCTTGCACATAGTAATAATAAAAGCCATAGTTGTGTATGTTTGATTCATCATTAGAGTCACTCATTCGGGAATCGGGACTACACTGGTCAGCTGTAAGTTTTGATTCACCTAAAAGAAGTGGTTTATTATAAGAGACATTCGTTTAGTAGTCTGAATATACTTGCGCTGAATGTTTTGTCTCACTAAAAAGAACTGGAGTCATTTGTTTGTAAATCAGCCATGCTTGTCTGTTTCACCCAGTAGATTTAGTAGCGGCACATGAACTGATCATCTCTCCCTACTAGTTATAGCACAAAATAAACATGAATGACCATCAGAAGTATGTTGTTTCAACCGCGTAAAAAAAACAATACACATAATTTTTCAAGTTCAAGCCCTACGACGGTAATCTACTAACTCTCCTGTCTGGTTTGTTTGTCGGTGTTATGATTGGTCAGATCGCTTGTGAATCAAACTCTCAGTGAAGGGGGAATTTGAATAAGGACCAGCTCTTGTTGCCAACCCTAATGGTGCCATAACCTTGCTAACTGGTTGCACTGATGTAATGCTTTGTTGGTGTCATTGAAGGAAAGTGTTTGTTTTGAAGGGCAATTATTTGTACTTTAATTACAGATAACTTTTTAATTTAGTTATGTCTACAATGAAGATGGCAGTCCTCAACTATTTGAATTGAAGCCTTAAGAAGAATAATTTGCCCATGCTTTGTACACAAACAGAAACTGGTGTGCCTACGTAGTGACACGGACTGTAAGCTGTGTAATGGAAGATGGAGTGGAGACCTATGTGAAACCTGAATACCAGCGCTGTGCTTGGGGCCAATGTCCCCATGTGGTTTTGTAAGTATTCATGAGCAAAAACACTGCCAAATTGCATTTAATTTAATCTTGGTTACCACTCGCTATTATGACAGTGTCAAACTGGAAAGTTTTGGCCCATGTCCCTCTCTCAACGGGATGCATGTCCACCAAACTATTTGTGGAATGAGATTGGAGAGAAGTTGAGACAGAAATCTGTCTCTGATGAAACTGCTAATGTACAAGTTACTTGTAATGTTGTTATTTTAATAATTTTTTAGAGAACAAATTTCAGCCATAAGTCCAAGATGAAGTTGACCTTTTTCTTAGGTCTCAGTAAACCTAAGTTTTATCTAAGATCTTCAAAGACAGCCATAATACTAGTCCCCTATACAGAAGCCACATCACAAGTATGAATGGACTATAAACAATGTTCTAATAATAGCAACAACTGCACTTGAAAGTTAAGTTAGACACACAAGAGGCTTGCCAGAGCAAAGCAAACACTTTCAAAGATTTTAATGATCTGCTGAAAGCTTTGACTGAATAAAATAACAAAAACATGCCCAGAAACAACAGCTCTAAGAAAATGAAGAACAGGCCTTTATTGTACTCTTTCCTAGCAGAGTTGTGGCCTTCTGAAAAGCGATACATAGCCTAGGATATGAACGTAACAGAAATATTTTCTATCTGCCTACTTGAGCAGTGCCATTGTAGACGCTCCGGTTAAAGTCGTGAAAGATGATTAAGTTAAACTTGACAGCTTTAAGTCTCCATTTTTCTAAATTTCAGAAAAGTACACACATTAAATCTTTGATTTTACAACAAAAAAGTCAAGTTGGACTAGTCAAGTCATCTTCATTTATATAGCGCTTTTAACAATGGAGATAGTTTCAAAGCAGCTTTACAGAGATAAACATACAATTTACAGTAACAGAGATTGTTTTGGCTTTATAGCGATTTTTGAATAATGTTATTTCCAGCTAAATTTGGTTTTGATTGATTCACTTCCAGCAAAATTATCATTTGTTATTACATTAGGGGCCACTAAGACGACGGCGTTCTCTCTAAACAGACTTTAAACGCGAACCTGTGACCTGATGGCGTTCACATGCGCATTAAAAATTGATTCTATAGTTATATTCGTTTGAATATGTGTGCGCAGGTTTGTAATTTCCCAACAAACCATGCCTAAACAAACTACTTGTCTTGCCTATAAATTTGATACAGACTAGTATACATATAGTTCATATTCATAGTTTCAGCTCTTGTTAGAACCGAATATGACAAAATATCTCACACCACAGGTATCGGACTTTTAGAAGACCACGGTACAAGGTTGCCTATAAAATGGTCACAGAGATGGAATGGAAGTGCTGTCATGGTTACTCAGGTGATGATTGTAGTGAAGGCTCCTCTGCCACAAAGGACAGCAGTGGCAGACATACTGGTGAAGAAGGTATGGCGTTACACTTAACCCTAGAATGCATAAAGGGAGTCAAATTGATCTGCTAGGTTATGATTTTGAGAATATTTTAATTGCTGCAGCATTTTGTTTTCATTTTATGTCTTAATCAATAAACATTATTGGTATAATGGGTCATGGGTCATGCATTCTAGGGTTAAAACAGGAAGATAATATGCTTACTGAATTAGTGAATGTTAAATAACTTCAATGTTATTCATAGGGAGAAGTGACAACAACAAGATTAGACAACTTGAGGAACAAATTCAAAGCTTGAATAAAGACCTTCACAACCTCCACTCAACCGTACACAGCATGAATAAGAAAATGCACGAGGAATCTCGAAGGGAAGGCATCAGTGGCAGCAACAATCTAGCTGACGCTGCCCAGTCAGGGATGAGGGAGACCATTCACAGCATCCAGACCAAACTGGACATGCTGGACAACATGACACAGGTCCATGACAAGACCCTCACCAGCATCAACAACCACCTTGTGGGCAGCAATGGAATTGGGAACGAATTGGACAGTCGGTATGGCACATTTAAAGAGGAGATTCTCAGGGAGCTGGAACGGCGAGTGACACTGTCGTGCTCGTCTTGCCAAACTGGAGTGGAGAGCATGCAAAGGCAACAGCAGGAAGACAGAGAGAGGATCCGAGCGCTGGAGAAGCACATCAGTGTGATGGAGCAGCACCACCGTCAAACTGTAGAGATGCTTGAGAGGGAACTGTCACGCTCTCAGAGTTGCTGTGATTCCCTGAGCGATCTTGACAGGAGACTTAGTGCCATTGAGAGGAAGGTCAGTTCGACTGCAGAGACGTATGATATCCTTAGAGGACGTCTTGAAAAAGAGTTGAGAGGATCAGGCAATGGAAATGGTGGTCGGGGAAAAGCACTTGATGAAAAACTGAACAGTCGTCTTAGAGACCTGGAGAGAAGACTGAACGGGACTGTGAGAAAAACTGAGCAAAAATGCTCCCATACTGAAACAAGTATGAAGGAGTTTGTCCAGAGAGAGATCGGCCAGATAAAAAACTCTGTCCTCAATCGAAATGATGATCAGGGTTATAGAATATCTACCATGGAAATAGGCATCCAAGACTTGAACCGTTTCTTTAACGATCACAAAAATAACCTGGAACGGTTAGGGAACAAAACAAATGATCTCGACAGCGGACTTAAATCAGCGATTCATTTGTGCACAGAGACGTGCGGTCCAAAAAGGAGTGAGACAGCAGATACTGTGAAAAGCCTGGAATGGAAGGTTTTTGGCAATGAGGAGGACATTAAGAAGTTTGACACCAAGCTAAAGGAATTAAGTGTGTCTGGTGACTCCTTATTTGACCGTATTGAAGATCTAAGCCATGACGTTCAAAAAATTAAGGATCTGACAGGACACAATGGAGAACACTTTAACCAAATCATCACCGATGTGGAGAATATGGGACGTGATTGCGACATATGTAGTACGATAGAGAGCGAGCTTACGGCTTTACGAAGAAAGGTAGATTCAGATGAGCATGTTTGCTCGCAGGTATGCTCAAACCTCCAGGAGGAAGTGGGCAAATTGAAAGAAGAGGTAGAGAAATGCACAGGCCAATGCATGAACAGTATGATTGACCATAAGAGGAACATAGATAATCAAAACACCATAACTCGCAAGCTTGGCAAAGACCTCAAGTCCATTCAGGGTGAGCTCACAGGAGTAATCCAAACGTTCAGCTCCATCAATGACTCTCTGAAAGGCTTCAGGAACACCATACAGAGGCACAACAACTCCATTTCTGATCTGAACAGGTCTAAGGACAAAATTTACTCAGACTTAGATCAGATTGAGGATGATTTTAACAAGCACAAAGAAGACAGTAAAGGACGTTTTGACGGCATCAGTAGCTTTAACAGCAATTTGATGATTGAAATGGGAGAATGCAAACTTTCTCGAGAAGGGCTGGATAAGAGACTCTCGAAGTTGGAGGGTGTCTGCAGTAGACTGGATTCCTTGTCAGTGAACCTTCAGACTATCAAAGATGGCCTGAGCAAACATGTCTCTGGGCTTTGGATGTGTGTTAATGACCTAAACTCCACAGTTATCTCACACGGTGAGGCCATCAACAGCATTCATGATGTTCATTTAGAGAACATTCGTGGCAGGATGAACAACCTCAACTCTTCCATACTGCATGTTCTCAAGGATTTCAAGATCTTCACTGAACACGACTTTACTGGTAGGTTCTTATCTATTTATCTTATCTAGTTAGGAATACTTACGTTTTTTTTATATTTTTGAAAGAAGTCTCTTATTAACAGTTTTCTATTTGAATGTATTTTAAAATGCTATTTATTCCTGTAATGGCAAAGTTGAACTTTCAGCATCATTACTCCAGTCTTCAGTGTCACATGATCCTTCAGAAATTATTCTAATATGCTGATTTGGTGCTCAAGACACATTTCTTACTATTATCACTGTGGAAAACGTCTCAGGTTACGACTGTAACCATAGTTCCCTGAGAAAGGGAACGAGACGATGCGTCATCGACGCTTTGGGAACGCCCCCAGCGTGAATGCGTCTGAGCATCAATGTCAACTAGTCCAATGGAAAGAATGAGCGTCACGGGCGGGTGACGTCATGACCAGGAAGGCATAAGAGCACATCCGGTGAAACGCGGCATTAGCTTCAAAAAGTCGAAGCAAGCCGATCACAGGGATGCAGGAAGTATGGCAGGGTGACGCATCGTCTCGTTCCCTTTCTCAGGGAACTATGGTTACAGTCGTAACCTGAGACGTTCCCTTTCGAGGGAACTCGCGATGCGTCATCGACGCTTTGGGAACGAGAATACCCAAAACGCCAGAATTCCAAGTACCTGAGTGTTAGTCTGTTGGAACTAAGCACTAAGCACCTGAGAACCTGGGGCAGCATCCAGGTCCAAACTGTAAAACCTGACGAACGTGAGCGGTGAGGACCAGCCTGCCGCATCACATACGTCTTGAAGAGAAACTCCAAATAATAAGGCTTTAGAGGCCGCCATACCCCTCGTAGAGTGAGCTCTGACCACCAAAGGACACGGCTGAGTACTCGTACTCGTTTGCAAGTGAAATAGCCTCAACTATCCACTTACTAACCGTCTGTTTAGAAGCAGGAAGACCCTTCTTAGGTGATCCAAAGCAAATAAATAACTGGTCGGACTTCCTCATTGAAGATGTCCGATGAACATAAGTATCCAGTGCTCGCACTGGACACAAGAGGTTCAGCCTTTCCTGGTCCGCAGATGTAAAAGGAGGACAGAAACCTGCAGCACAATAGGCCTCGGAATAATGGTAGGCACCTTTGGAACATATCCATGTTTCGGGTAAGAATGCCTTGGCCATCCCCGGTGCACTCAAGGCAGGTGGGGACCGAAAGGGCCTGAAGGTCTGACTCTAATAGGGACGAAATAGCTAGCAGAAAATAGTCTTAAAAGAAAGGAACTTCTCTGAGACCAAATCTAAGGGCTCGAAGGGAGCCCCAGATAGGCCTTCTAGAACTATTGCAAGGTCCCAAGCCAGCACCCTAGTGCAAGTTGCAGGCCTCAGCCTCAAAGTGCCACGAAGGAAACGAGTGATCAGGGGGTTTCGACCCAAAAATGTACTACCCACCAGGGCGTGGAAAGCCGCAATGGCCACCACGTATACCTTAAGCGTGGAAGGACATAGACCTGATACAAAGCGTTCTTGCAGAAACTCGAATACTGTGTTTACTGAACAGTTAACCGGATCCCACTGACGCTGGTAACACCAAGAAGTGAAAAACTCTCGAAATAGTGAATATAGTTTCCTCGTAGCGGGAGCTCTGGAGCTTAGAATGGTCTCAACAACCTCGGTTGAGAGACCACTCTCTATGAGTTGGGCCCCCTCAGAGGCCAAACCCACAGCTTCCAAATCCCCTGCCGGGGGTGCAATATTGCATCCCCTGCCTGAGACGGAAGGTCTCTCCTGATCGGGACCTCCAAGGGAGGTCCGTCGAGGAGAAAAATTAGGTCCGCAAACCAAATTCAGCTCAGCCAGGGTGGTGCTACTAAATAGGCTTATTCCATCCTGGCGGAATCACTCCAGAACTCCTGGGAGCAGAGCAACAGGGGGAAATGCGTACAGACGTAGCCTCAGCCACGTCTGCACCATAGCAACCAGCCCCGAGGGGACTGGTTGAGTGAGGGATAACCAGAGTGGACAGTGCGTCGTATGCTGAGACGAGAACAAATCCACTTCTGCCTGGCCATAAAACTCCCATATTTGCTCCACCGCCTCGGGGTGGAGTCCCCTGGCCTCAGCCCCTGCCTCGACAGGGTGTCTGCTCCAATATTCTGGCCCCCCTGGAATATACACTGCCCTCAGACAGCGTAATTTCCTGAGGGACCAAAATAATAGGCCACCAACGTGTTGTCTGTGGGTCAAGAACCAGAGTTTCCTCCATATAACCAAGGCGCGGGGATACTGCCGCGTGATCTTAATCGTACGGAGTGGGTTTCCCCTCAGGGAGAACCCTCTGGTCCTGAGCCACCACTGTAAAGGTCTCACGTACAGCAGGTCAAAGGGTATCACATTGAACGCTGCTGCCCTGAGGCCTAACAGTCACTGTTTCAGAACAACACATGATGGCCCCTCAGGTCTGGGAGGAGATGTCTCAACGCATTGAAGACGACCATCATCTCTATGCAATTCATGTGCCAAGCGAGATGATGACTCCTCCCAAGCCCTGAGCTGAGCGGCCTTCCAATACCGCTCCCCAGCCGGTGAGGGAAGCATCTGTCGAGATAGCAACTCGATGGCAAAGAGCTCCCAACACCGAACCCTGGGTTAAGAACCAGTGTTTCCTCCATATAACCAAGGCACGAAGGCACCGCCGCGTGATCTTGATCATACGAAGTGGGTTTCCCCTCGGGGAGAACCCTCTGGTCCTGCGCCACCACTGCAAAGGTCTCATGTACAGCAGGCCAAAAGGTATCCCGTTGGACGCTACTGCCACAAGACCCAACAGTCTCTCGAACTGTTTTACAGTGCGTGACTGGCCTAGCCTCAGCTCTTTTGTGGCTGTTAGGGTAGCAGCTACACGAACGGGCCAGAGTGGCCCGCATCGTCACTGAATCCCATACCACACCAAGGAAAGTGGTTCTCTGTACTGGAGAAAGCACACTCTTCTTGGCATTGAGCCTCAACCCCAACATCTGCATATGAGCGAGAACGACACCTCGGTGCCGAACCGCTAACTGTTCTGATTCCGCTAGAATCAGCCAGTCATCTATGCAATTCAGAATGCGTATACACTGCAGCCTGGCGGGGCCAGAGCTGCGTCTACACACTTCGTGAATGTGCGGGGTGATAGAGCTAGACCAAAAGGAAGTGCCTGATACTGGTGTTCTTTGCCCCAAAGAAAACCTCAGGAACCTCCTGTGCTGAGGGAGGATGGAGATATGGAAGTATACGTCTTTTAGATCTATCGTGACAAACCAGTCCTCGGATCTGATTTGAGTCACGATCTGTTTGAGTGTCAGCATCTTGGACTTGAGTTCCAGCATCAAACACTCCAACAGACGAAGATCTAGTATGTGACGCAGCTCTCCATCCTTTTTTGGAACAATGAGATAACGACTGTAAAGACCCGACGCAATGTCGGGTGAGTACACCTGCTCTATAGCTTTCTTTGCTAACAGGGCCTTTACCCCTTGCTCCATTACCAGAGAGATTACCATTACCCATAGAGATATATTTGGCAGTAGCTTCCGCGCTGCCAGAAAATCTACCAAGGGAACCAGCCCCTCGAGGCTGGCCTCTGGTGTAATAAAGACAGCCAGTTCGGGGACCTGAAACATACTGGCAGGAACCACCCGAACTGACTGTTTTCGAACCCCCCTCAGAGGGCGCGAGTCCGACGCAATGTCGAGTTGACGCTGCGCCAGAAGCTCGCTGGAGAACGCTGCGCCCCGAAGCACCAAGGGTGGCGGGGTTGGCAGAACGGTCCCCTGAGGGCACAGAGATGGAAAGGGCACCGTATAATGAGGTGTACACCATTCCACCCCGGTTGGGGCTGCCCTCACCGGTCTGACGCCGTGGCGCCAGACCTTTTCTTTTGAGCCGCAGCCTTCTCAGCATGAAGAACGGTCCTCGGATCCGGCTTCTGCTTTGAAGGCTTTGGCTGCTGTGTTGTGTATGAGAAACTAGCCGGCTGGAGCTGCTCACGCCCAGCAGCCCCAGTGGGTTGGACATAGCGAGGGAGAGATTATCTTGTATCTTTCTCCATGATTCCCATCAAATTGAGCCAGAGGTGTCTCTCAGTGACCACATTTTTTTGGCTGCCATCCCTGAGAGATAAATCTGAGGCCCGACTGAGTTCTCAAACCCCATCGGGCCAAACTCCCTCACTTCTGTCCAAATACCACAGCAGGTCAGCCTGATATGCTTGCAGCACTGCTATAGTGTGCAAGCAGGCTCATGCTAGACCCACTGCCATATATGCTTTTCCCACTAGATTAAAAAATAGTTTTCTTTAATGGTTTAGTGAGAGAAGCCGACGCCTTCAGGGACGATACTGAACCAGGAGACATAGCTCGCAAGTGTCTGTTCTACCCGGGGTATTGCCCCATAGCCATACTCTCTTAACCCACAAATATCTGAATATACATGAATGTGGGGCTAAAAAATGAGTAAGGCTTTTTCCATGATCTAGACAGCTCGCTGTGCAGATCGGGAAAAATGGAAGGCCCCGTGATGGAGGTGGAAAAATAGAGGGAAGGAAACTCGTTCAATTTATTTTAAGGACGAGTGCCCCCTTATTTCTGCTGGCCATTAAATATTTAATTTATCTACAGCCTTAGTAAACACCTCCACCAGCTTATTATTATATATATTTTTTTATATATACATTCTTTATATATATACACTTTATTTTATATATAATATATAAACTATCATATATATGTATATAGGCTATATATAATTCTCATACGCTGGGGAAGAGATGGCAAATCCACTTCCCCCATGATTGTGTCACTTTCAATGTCCAGCACATCTACCTCCTCGGAGGTAGAGCACTGAAGCATTGATTTCTCTCCCCGGGCGGAAGAGACCGCAGCGCGGGCTTCCGAGACCGGAGAGAGAGCACTGGATCCCCCGTGGAAAGGGAGGAGATAAGATCCGGGGACCCGTCTCCAACCCCGTAAAGAGATCCTATTCGCGATCCACAGGAATGCATTCTCCGCGCTGCCTCGGCAGACGCGTGTCCTGCACCCTGAGGATCGCGAGCCTGGCCACTTTCCTCGAAAAGTGACAGGCGGGAGTGGAGCATGCGAAGCGAAAGCTTCTCACAATGTTGCAATCAGCCCCCTCGGAGGCTGATACCGCATGCTCCACTCCCAAACAAACTACACAAAACTCGTGTGTGTCCCCACCCGTTAAATAACGCGGGCAGGGAGAAGCACAGAGTTTGTAAAGTTGTTTCGCCATAACTCTTCCCAATAATATCGAACAGACAACAATAAATAGACAGAGACAGAGTAACACAGATCGCTTGCTGAGACACAGAAGCTAATGCCGCGTTTCACCGGATGTGCTCTTATGCCTTCCTGGTCATGACGTCACCCGCCCGTGACGCTCATTCTTTCCATTGGACTAGTTGACATTGATGCTCAGACGCATTCACGCTGGGGGCGTTCCCAAAGCGTCGATGACGCATCGCGAGTTCCCTCGAAAGGGAACAGTTGTGCTGCTTAAAATATTTGTGAAAAACGTGATACACTACCATTCAAACGTTTGGGGAAAATCATGGTTGTTATAAGATACTCCTAAGCGTTCCTTGTTTGGATTTATTAAAGACTGTTTTTGTTTATTATCTCCGCCGTGCGCTTATTACTGTAACCAGCCATAAAATGACATTTGGGTGGAAAAGTACATTAGTGTAGTTAAAATAAAACACTTTCCTGTTGTGTGACATGCTATACTCCATCTAAAATATTGGCCAGCATTTTTTGGAATTATTACAATGACTTTTGGGCCAATCCTCAGGACCTCGTGGACTAGCTGGTCCTCAAGGAGAGAAAGGATCCGAAGGACCTCCTGGGCCACTAGGACCTCCAGGCAGAGAAGGACCACAAGGGAAAATGGGGCCAATAGGACCTCCAGGTAAATGAATGAATAAATGAATGATTTTTTCCCTCACAATTTTAACTGAACTGGCAAAATGAATAATATTTTTGTCCTATACATTTTTCTTATTTGTCTCCTATTTAGGCCTCAGAGGTGAACAAGGTCAGTATTCTTACTTTTACTACTGCCATGACTTTTTCTTCTACTATTAAAATGATTTTGCTTTACATTAATGAATATAATAAAAAAGTGTTTTTGTCTGTTCTTGTCCTTACCAGGACCTCCCGGAGAGGATGCCAATGTTCCAAGACTGTCATTCTCAGCAGCACTCACACGACCACAAGACTATGCAGGCACCATTGTCTTCAACAAGGTCTTTGTCAATGAAAGAAAGGCCTACAATGCAAAAACAGGTATGCATATTAAAGACAAGCATATTGTATGTGAATTAAGGACTGTCATAACCATAAATGCTCTTACCAAATGTATTTTGACAGGTATGTTCACTGCTCCTGTGAATGGGCGATACTTCTTCAGTGCAGTCCTGACAGGTCACAAGAATGTCAAGATTGAGGCAGTCTTGTCTAAATCCAACTATGGTATTGCCCGTGGAGATTCGGCAGGCTATCAGCCTGAGGGTCTTGAGAAACCAATGGCCGAGGCACGGCACACTCCTGGCTCCCTGGTCATCTTCAACATCATACTTCCTCTGCAGGAGGGAGATACTGTCTGCATTGACCTGGTCACAGGTAAACTTGCCCACTCAGTGGAGCCCCTGACGATCTTCAGTGGGATGTTGCTCTACGATTAAACAGAGGACAGATTGTAAGACTCATCTGAGACTCAGTGAGGACAATGTCAGATGTAAAAATTTGTATCTGGACAAATCGTGAGTTTTTTTTTTTGAAGAACACTTTTACATATTCAATGTTGAATAAGGTTTATGATACAAAATGTATGCAGGTTTCATTTATAAAAGGCCACGAGGACACACAAGATGATTATATTTATCTATTATCAGAACAATGAACTGAAATGTGTATATGGTTGTTTTTACATTTTATTCTTGAATGGCAAGTCATATGTTCATATACTGTGAGTGACCATGTTTACTTTTATTAAAATGCAGCTGGGAGCAGCAAACTTCCTTATAAAAAACTAGCCCATCCACATCATTTGTTGTCCTGGAAGAGATGAAAATGAGTGACTCTCAAACTGGGAATGAAAATGTATATTACCATATGCCACGCTGAGAATGATTTTTCCTGATAATATTTCAGCAATACTGTCACTTCTATCAGCTATTTAGAATCTGAACTAGTCATGCAAAATTAATGGATTAAGCACTTCTAATTTAATAGTTTCGCAAAAATTCTGAATTTATTCACGATTCAGTTTGATTCATTTGGATGGTTTGCTCACACACTTAATTGTTTGCAGTGGTTTCTCAAACTGAAAAAGAAAACAAAAAGAACGCTGGATGAGGTGGATATATACCTACAATAAATTGTAAGTAACAAACCTCACAAATGTCTTTTATCAGTGATTACACAGCGCATGCATCTTGTGAACTCTGTAAAGACAATTTACAGTATAAAAAGGTAAGCAGTGTATTGCAGTGCACAATACAGTGTATTTACAGCACTTCACAAGTAAAGAAATACATGGATATTAAATATTTTTATTATTATTATTTAGAAAAGACAGAACATAAGGAAACACCCTTCAGAAGCAGGCTATTTTGTTGTTTGTATGTTTGAAAAGGTTCTGTCAGCTAAGAACTTCAAGATTTTCAGTAAAAAAAAAAAAAAGTAAGTAGATGATGTGATGTTCAATCTGCCAGCAACTGAGAAATCCAATCCAAGCCGAAAAAGTTAGCCTATATACGTTCTTTATTTAAAGCTTGTATAAATGCTTTTTAAAAAGAAGCTTGGATAAAGATCTATATAAATATACAGTTATGTACTTTTCGTCCACTAACAGTTCCTTGACATTTACCAGCCAACCAGTGTAGCTTCACTAAAATACACTTCAAAAAGAAGGAATTCATTTTAAAACGAGAAAAGATCTTTTCTCAAGATGAATGCAATAAATATTACACATGACATGATATTTTCTATTATTCCCCATTTCCCCACTGTGTTATTCTTTCATATTTGTGGCACATTTCTTCACTTAATCTCCAAATTTGGAAAAGTAACTATAAAAGGATGAATTCAAATAAAGCAGGCTGTGCAGAGAGGGACATTTTTAGCCCTGCCAGAGGCTATAGATCAAGAAACTTCTAACCCATCCTCTGGTAACTCTTCCAAAGAAAACTATCAAAGTTGTTTATGCTAGATGCAGAAAAGATTTCATCCTGGCTATCTTTTTGTCAATGGATTTTTATTTTGTCTCTTTGGACTGCAGATGTTCTCTAAAAAAAGACCGAATCTAACAGCTCAGAATCTGCATCTTTGCCAGACATTTATTTGTGTGACCTTAGCTGTCTTGGTGGTCTGCCTAATGTTTTCTTTAATACAAAGGGATTTAAAGGACTTTGCACTACTAGAGTCTAGGACTGAGATCAAACCTTGACCATTCGGTCCATTTTAACCTCCAGAAGCGAGGAATTACTTAAAAGGCCTTTGTAAATATTACTTCAAAATGATTCATTTTGCAGTAAGAGTTTATATGCTTAATTTGCAATTGGGACCAGGTTATATCAGCTGTCTAGGCGTAGTCTGAACCATATGTTCACATCTGACAGTTTCACCTTGCTTCTCACTACAGGTATTACAGCAGTATTATAAATAAGTAATGGATCAGACTGTTGTGCAATTCAAATAGTCTTCAGATTATTTTCTTCTTCCAAACTGAATGTTAGTGGTGGATATACATCACTATATTTGCAATGCTGGTTTTTAATAAATACATTTTTTTTTTTTTAACCATTTTCTTTTTTTGGAAAGATGTTATTTTTCAAAAAGCCTAGATTTAGATTTTTTAATTTTCCTAGGAAAAGTAGCCTACTATGTTAGTGTTCTGATTCCCTTCAACCATCCACACGCTCGCTCTGCCTCCAAAGCCCCGCCCTCCAAAGTCTCATTGGCTAAAAAAAGCGCGGGCCACTCCACTAATTTATATAAAGTTAGCGCCCTCTAGTGGACAATCTTAAATCTTTCCCAAGTTTTTCCTCTTGAACCCTACCTTCTTCCTGAGAAGGATTGAGTGCTGGTTGAAGTGATAACATTAAATTATGGATGACTTTGACTTCATGGTGAGAGAATCATATCCCATATGAGGATGGCGCGAGGAAGCCTCTCTTTGTGATAGATGTCACTTACTGTCACTCATTCAAAAAGTTACTCACCCGCTTGAACAAATTGCCATGAAATCTGATAGGCCGTTCCTCGTCAGGCTACTCAACCCCGGTCAAGTGATCACGTAAAAGTGCGGTAATTCAACCTGCTGAGGCCGCTTCTACACAAAAAAAGAGGCGGGGACAATGAGGCGGAATTTAGGCTACTTCTTGAAGAAGCTTTCCGAGAGTTCACGAGCCACGGCGTGCTGTTGCCATAGAGACACACAGCGACCACAGATCGACGCGCCTGGAAACAATGTAACATTTTATTAGGCTATAACTTTAACATTATACTGTTGATTTTAAACATCGACTACAGGTAAGGGAATCTAGCTGTTGTTTGACGTTGAATATAGTCTTGTAAAACTTGTGGATCCGATATACACAGACTATATGGTTGCTAGCCTAAAACAAAAACTTTAATTAAAACTAAGCTAAGGTGCAAAGTGAGGGGAAATATATTTTGGTCCTAAAATATAAGATGTAAAATTGGAAAAATTACATTCGTTTTTACTGAATATTCATGGTGCAACATGAGTTGTATAAAAATAGAAATGTGGATGTTATTAAAAAGCATGTAAATAATATTGAGACAGCTAAAGGGCCTACCATACACTTGGGGTCGCATTTGTTGGGTTTTGGTCTGTGATATGGCAAGTTATCATATTGAAATTTGAGTTTTTGTCATCACTTTTGTCATTTCATAAAGCCTTGACTGTGTATACCTAAACAAGTATACTTCAAGTTCATTTTATAAAGTAAAGTGTATTTTAAGTATACTTTAAGTAGTAAGTATACTATTATCAATGTATTATACTTGCAAGTGTACTATTTCAATTGTAGCCTACTTGGCACTAAATTGGCCCACTTTTTAGTGTATGAAAGTACACTTTGAAGTAAACTCTCAGTAAACTAGCCTACTAGTTCAGTAGTTTTATTCTGCAAGTATACTTGTAAGTTATCTTTAAGTAAACTTATTCTTATAGTTTACTATTTATATATAAAATGTTGCACTTTATACTACTATGTTATTATTTAGATAATTTTTTTTACCTTTAACTGTACTTTAAATAGATTATAAGTTAATTCCTATGTACACTACCAGTGGACTACACAACAATTCACATACTCAGAATTAGAAACACTTCTGTTTTCTTTATAAATCAATATTTTCAAACAAATCTATTGTATTGGATGCCAAAACGTGTAAGTTTATGTAAAATTATGTGGGGAAAAGTATGTAATAGACTACTCGATCAAATTCTTACATGTTTTATTGCACTTTGATCAAAATGTATGCATTAATTTATGTAAAAAAAAAAAAAATGCAAATGCAACCATACATATAATATTTTCAGGTTCAAAATGTCATGCACCCCGGCCAAGGGAAGGCTTGAAGTTTTGCAGATCTACCGGCTGCTTCAGTGCGTCCAGGATGGAGAAAAGCCGTACATAGAGAAATTAATCAGCATGGGTGTTGATGATCTCATCAATCTCACCGAGCCATGTGAGGGGTACGGCGTCCTGCACCTGGTATCAGTGGCCAACAATCCCGACATGCTGGAGTTCCTCGTAGCTCAGGGTGCCCGTCCAGATGTGCAGGACAGGAGGGGGCGGACACCGCTGATGCTGGCCGCAGAGCTCGGATATGATGGTATTGTGTCTCTACTGGCCAAGAAGAATGCAGACATGAAACTTGTCGACAAAGATGGGAAAGGTAACGTTTAATTTTTTTATTTTATAATATAACTGCTACTTTTTATCCATTACAAAGAACATGCACACAACTTTTAAAAGCTTTGGTCAGTGGCAGGGTAAATAATTAGCGAACATCAATGAACTGTACAAACTTTATCTGTGAATACGAAATAATTTTATTGATCAATATACAATAGCTCACTTTAATGAGGCTTACCCCACAAGAAATAATTGTAAGGACTGGGCCAGGGTGAATCTGAATAACTAAATACCTTCGTGCTAAAATCCCAAAGCCTTTAGCCCCAAAAGGCCTGGAACTTGAAAAAACACACACAAACACACACACACACACACACACACACACCTCCCCCACAGCTGACACCCACACTCAGGACAGAGCGTGGTTTCCTGTAACGAGACACTTGTATGACTGACTTGGAATTTGATGTTCAAAGAGAAAGGAACTTCTTTTCTTTAAAAGACATTTAACCCGATATATTCGATGTGTTTTTATGTGTGTCCATTTGCCCATGTCACATTGTAATGACTATAATTTGTCCGTAACTTAAAAGTGAATTATAAATACCCTAGGTGTATTTTTAATGTAAATGTTTACCTATAACAGTCGTGTTTGATATCGTAAAAATGCCCTTGACTTGACTCAGCCAGATATATGTATGAACACACCGTAAAAGGTATGATTATGTGCATAACACATCTCTGCAGTAGAAATGACCCTTCCTAACACAGGTCATAATTTAATTAGACAAGCAGTCTGACAAGACAAAGAGAAATAAAACCCAAAGTCCCGCCTGTAAACTTCCAACCCTCTAATTGGCCAAGCCAACAGGAAGAGGCTGGATTTCTCATAGTGTGATAAATGACGCTTCTCCCCTGCGCTCGCTCTCTTCCTCCCGTGTCATGATGTAACGTCTCGCCTCCGGGCGAGCTCTTCGCCTTTCTTTTATTTGTTTCTAGTTTAGTTGTGTTTTTCATTTGTAGATAAGTCTCTGTGTTTAATTCCAATCGACGATTGAAAAGGAAACCCCGTGACCGTGACATATCTCTTCAGCAAATCCATCTACCAGGGACCTTTAAACGAGCGCGCGCTCTCTTTGAAGGAGAAACACGCGCACGTGACCACGTGACGCGCCGGACCGAGAGACACACACGCTTCTTCAAAGCCATGGAAAGATGCAACGTTAACTCCGCGTGATTTCCCCGTAGAGATCTTTATTCCCTTTTTGTTAGTCAAAGTTTTGTTTTCCGTAGCCGACTCAGTTCACTTCCACGAAGTGAAACGAACTTAGCCGAACTATTTCCCTTTGGAAATGTTACAACAAAGACTGTAAACCTCCGTTCAACACGCGCGCCAAGCAGCCCACGTGACGCTTCCTCACACCCAAAGGACTCAGCTCACGCGGCCAGACAGGGCCGTACAGGAATGTTTCGGCACAGAGAGAAACCATAACATAAGTTGATTGCAAGTATAAATCTCTTTATAGAGCTTCTAAGAAGTTTTAAGATGATGTTCCGTGTTGTAATCGGAGAGGTGAATGTCTTCCTGCCAATGAAATTCTCCCAATTTCTCTGTTCTCTCTCTCCCCATCCCCTTTCCTCTCTCTCTTACTCGCTCACGCGTGTAAGTTATCAATTGTCCAAACTTTATGCATTTCTCGTTCATTGATGTCTTATTGTATCGTTCATTGTTGTCTATGTGTTTGTAAATACATATATCCCATGTAACCGTAGTAAATACATAAGTAGTCATGCCTTTATTAAATCCATTATATTCATTTTGATTGATGTTACTGTGTCTGCTCATACTCCAGGTCTCTGAAATGAATAGATCAAGCTACGGCTTTGCTTTATAAAATAAAAATACTTTTAAAGAGTATGTGTTTATAGGGCAGAAAACCCAGTTCTTAGATTGATGTGCTGTCTTTTTGCTCAATTTCAAGTCACTTAAGTGCCAAAGGTCTAAATGCTACAAGCTTTATGAATTACAGATACTTTAAAGAGTAACGTTAACGTTATGTGTTGATGGGCGGGAAACCCAATTCTTCTGGCCAGAGAATTGCGTTTCCTGACATCCTATAAAGTAAGATGATATTGTGGATCCCACAAATATTATCCTGACAATTGAGCTAATTCATTTTACCTGTGTGTGAAACATGGCCCGGGTAATTAACTGCAAGCAACTTGTGGTTAATTTCCGGGATTCACATGCACGCATGCAGGTAGAATGACCGATCCTCCCTTATCGGGAGATTTATTAACATGTAAGACAGATCTAATCCAAACATGTATGAATAATTATTAATTACCAATTATTAATTATGATATGCAAATTCCCCACGGATTAGATCCGCCCTGAATCCTTACATAAAGTGGTGGAGGATGCGGGCACATTTTAAACTTGTTTTATGAGCAAAATCAGTTTTCAATCTATGTCTATATTGTGATTTAATATTGTACGTGCGCCTCGAGTGAGCGAACGCAATGCGAACTCACCGCTGCAAAATAATGTCTGACATTCCGTTTGCCATTGTTAATAACTAAAAGTAAACTGCAGTTCATAGTATTAAATTTGTCCCACAAAAAAAGAAACCTCTTTTGAACGACGACATTTTTAATGTTAAACTCCCCTGTCCGAACGATGTTCTTCTGTCAGGGTGAAGACAAGATTTAGTGAATCGATGCTCTTTCACTATTCTTAAAAAGGCCTTATTTTATAATCGTTAGATTAATGATAAAAACTCCTGGTTAAAACATTGACTTAGCTACTCAATTGTAAAAAACCGAAAAGCATATTATCACAAGTGCTATTTGATATATGCTTGGAGTCGAAAACAGATGAATAATTCCTGTTTTCTCTCGCACAACGCAGCGACGAATCCTGCTAGATGTGCTTGTAAAACATAGCACCGAGAAAAAAAATCCAACACTGAAAACATTTTTCAATCATAAAATGCTATTCGATAAATGTATGTGTGTCCGAACGACAGACGTGTAATTCCTGTTGTCCCTATGTGTGTGTGTAGGAAAAATCCTGCCACGCCGTTTTGTGAAATATAGAACCGGAAAGAAATCCGTCGATATTTAAATTCCGCACTATTTCGGATTGATGCAGCAATTGAGGCGTGTAATTCTTTGCACGTCCTCTGAGACAGTCACTTGTGAAAGCAGGCGGGCTGCAATGCTACTGCCAAACGCTAGGGCGCGCCCTTGAGTTTCCCAGTATCAGACGGCCTCCACGTCCTGACTTTACCCTCCATGAGCGCAATAGCGCCATCGTGTGGACACTAGCGGTAAAGCGTCTTTTCTTCAATTTTCTCTTCCCACAACTTCAAAGTTTACCAGTGAGATTTTGAACTCGTGTTTCTAACTTTCAATGCATGGCAATTTACAGCCACGTTTACTAACATGATTTTCCCTGCCTTGACTGTGTGCACTTGTTTTGGATTTTGGTTCAAACCACATTTGAACTTAAAAAATTCAAAATTATGTCTTAGCAGTTTCTGATGACCGCTCTGTTTTGAAATGACTTTCTCCCAATTGATCTTGTGTTGGTTACTACCACTGACACCTCACTGTGGTCGTGATCATCAAATATAAGGCCAACCCTTAATTTCCTACACTTATTCAAATTTGGTTTGAAACAAACCGATTTCAAGGTTAATTTGAATTAAGTCTCATTGCCCGTTGGGAATTGTTTTATGGCTTTTTCTATATTTCCCTTTTCAAATTATTTTTAATAATTTTGATTTGATTTTATTACAACTGTCTCCTTGCTGTTCTAGAAGTTACTTAACATCTATGAATACGCTTGATTTGAATCGTATTTAAACCAGTTTGAATGCAATTTAAATCAAGTTCTCTGTCAGCCAGCTTGACCACTAAGAGGAAGTGGCCCAAAACCCTTTGTGGCCCAAACGCGCCACTACAGCCTGCTTCCTCCTGTGCTCTTCCTGCGGCTCTAAAACTCTCCTCCGAAGGGAGACTAGGTTATTCTGATAATTAACATTGTCATAATTCCCTTTGTTTTTACCATAATTTTAGTAAAGCCGTTGCCTTTGATTTTTCTAAAAAAAAAAAAGACACTCAATTTGATTTAGATAAAAGAGCTTTAATTCACGTTGAGGTTCAATTGTTCTTCATCCTGTTTTGTGTTTGTAGGTAGAAAGCTCTCTCGGGCTGTGGCAATTTGACAGTCAGCTCTGCTCGGGGTCCGGCGGGCTGGTTCGTCTGATCTGCGTCACCAGCACTGACTGAGCACGGGTCTCAGACTTTCCTGTATCTTTCCCTTCGTGCGGCCCGCAACACGACATTACCAATTCGGCACCGCCGGTTGTGTTCCAGGTCAAGTTGCTTGAAAGGGCGCACCTAGGTACAGATGCACCGAAAGGCCCGGGACACTGCTGCCAAGTGTTTGGGGCGACAGAAGGACCAACCACGATGCTGACTTCGAGCGGAATGACCTCATTTCACCCCAGGCAAACTAGAAAAAGGTATTAAACCCATCCACTTAGTATTGGCCACAGAATCTATGAATTCCCCCGGTCATTGAAGCGTGTGGCTCCCTTCTCCTCTCCGAGCCACAAACCGCAGGCTTAGGCCTCCTCTTCCCTTGTAACACTTCCTGTGTACTATTGACGCCATTTCATTACAGAACTTTCCATCTTTAATGGTTGCATGTTACTTCAAACTTTGTTATCTTGCCACTGCTCTTTTCTGTTGTGCTCTGTTCCTTTCAGTTCACCTAGAAGACAGAGCCTATCTGAGACAACAAGGAACGCTGAATAATAGTTTGACAAACCAAGCCGTTAGCATCAACAGGTGACCACTAAGCTACCGCCCTGTTAAATTTTATTCAGGCCCATACTGAACTACCTAAATTGTCCCACCGAATGATTTAACTGTCTGCATCAGTTAACCAAAATTTTCATACACGGCATAACCCGTATTATAGCTCGTTAAACGTAGAACGAAATTGCACTGGTCTCTCTCTGCGTGTGT